TTTTTTTTTTTTGTTTTTTTTTTTTTTTTTTTTTTTTTTTTTTTTTTTTTTTTTTTTTTTTTTTTTTTTTTTTGCCTTTGGATTCTGAACTGCTTTGGATGTTATGTTATTATGAATATGACATGAGATCATTTCTTGTTAAATTTTGTTTAGCTTAAAAGAACCTAAACAGTGTGTATTTTATTAGGGCCCTCGTTTACCGACGGCGATAATGTTTGGCCTATTCGCGTTGCGTCGTAGAAATCTCCACACGACAACACACTTTGAATCTCCACTGTTCCAGAAACTCATCGAAGACTTAAAATGCTGCAGAGACGTTGCCCAAGTTTCTCGAATCCATGCCTACATGGTCAAAACAGGGATCGACAAGGACGATTTCACAGTGAGCAAGCTCATCGCTTCCTCTCTTCAAGACATCCAATACGCCTCCTCCATCTTCAACAACGTCTCCAACACTACTCTCTTCATGTTCAACACAATCCTCAGAGGTTACTCTCTCAGCGAAGACCCAGAGCGAGCCTTCCCTCTCTTTAACCAATTGAGAGCTCAAGTTCCCACCTTGGATCGCTTCTCCTTCATCGCGGCTCTGAAATCATGCACTCGTCAATTGGGTTGTGGAATCGGCGAGGGTGTGCATGGGATCGTATTGAGATCTGGGTTCATGCGATTTACCGATTTGAGAAACTCTCTTCTTCATTTTTACTGTGTTTCTCGGAGGATCAGTGATGCACGGAAGCTGTTCGACGAAATGCCGCAGAGGGTCGATGCTATTTCGTTTACTACTTTGATGAATGGGTATCTTCAGGTTTCTAAGCCCGCGTTGGCTCTGTTTTTGTTCAGGGATATGCGGAGAAGTGAGATCGTTATTAGTGTTAGTACGCTGCTTAGCTTTCTTTCAGCTACTGGTGATCTTGGAGACTTGTTAGGTGCAGAATCTGCTTATGGATTATCTATCAAGACTGGTTTTGATCTTAAGTTGCATTTAGTTACAGCTTTGATAGGTATGTACGCCAAAATTGGGGACATGAGTTCAGCACGAAGGATCTTTAATTGTTCTGCAAGGAAGGACGTTGTTATGTGGAATTGTATGATTGACCAGTATGCCAAAACGGGTCTACTTGAAGAGTGTCTATCGCTACTGAGGCAGATGAAGTATGAACAGCTGAAACCAAATTCATCAACGTTTGCTGGGCTGTTGTCTTCCTGTGCGAGCTACGAAGCATTATCCATAGGACAGAGCGTTGGACACTTGGTGGAAGAGGAGAGAATAGCTTTGGATGCAGTACTCGGAACCGCACTCCTTGATATGTATGCAAAACTAGGGATGATTCACAAAGCTGTTGAGATTTTTGATAGGATGAAGAACAAGGATGTGAAGTCTTGGACTGCAATGATCTCGGGATACGGATCGCATGGACTAGCAAGAGAAGCAATAAATCTATTCTTTAAGATGGAGGAAAGGAAAGTGATGCCCAATGAGATTACTTTCTTGGTTGTGTTGAATTCTTGTAGCCATGGAGGTCTGGTAATGGAAGGAATCAGATGCTTTAAGAGGATGGTTGAGGTATACCGTTTCATACCCAAAGTTGAGCATTATGGTTGTGTGGTTGATCTTTTAGGTCGAGCAGGGCAGTTAGAGGAAGCATATGAATTGATAAAGAATTTACCTATTAGAAGCGACTCAACAGCTTGGCGTGCTTTGCTAGCTGCTTGTAGAGTCTATGGGAATGTAGATTTGGGGGGACGTGTGAGAATTAAATTGGTTGAAATGGGTGAGAGAAATTTTGCTGATGCAATTCTTTTGGCTGGAACACATTCTGTTGCAGGGAATCCGCAAGGTCGACAAGATTTATTAGATAATGAATTTTATAAAGAGAAAAAGAAAGCTGCATATAGTGCCATTGAAAGAGAATGGAGTAGTGAATCAATCTGTGGGCTTATTTCACCTGTGTTAAAAAGATAATCATTGTAGGATTTTGAGTGACTTGAGTGATTTTGTTATCCTATGTTTCAAAAAATTGCTATAGTTGTTAAAAAAATTGTTTTGGTATGATTCATTGTAGGATATGTATTATTCAATAGCAATAAAAATTTGAGAGTATATGGCTACCAACTTTATTTAATCATCTATATGACTACCCTTCCCTCACTGCTCTTTGTTGAAGTATTTGAGATTGCTGCATACTATAACATCTCCAAGGCTTAGCATATGTTCTCCAATGGACCAACTCCGTCAGATCTTTTCTTCACAATTGTTAGAGAAAGAAAGAATATTTATCTAGATTACGTTCAATCTATTTATGTGAAAGGAAGATGCTAAGAGTTTGTGAAGTGTGTGGGTTTATGCTTATGTATGAATTTGCTATGACTCATGGTTTTCCCTAGGTGTATTTTTTTTTTTACGGTGGGTGCTATTAATTGTTGGTATTATTGCTGGCCTTCGGTGCTGCCAGCAAGTAACTTGAAATCACACATCTCACCTACAACTGAGTTATCTATGGGTGGAGACTAACTTAAAGTGTAAATACATGTTTGAGAAAAAAATCTAAAATTCCTAAAGGTATTAACCGTTGTTAAATAAACTGAAATTCAGTGATATATTTGACCAATCATGTAATGTAGGAAATGTTACTTAAATATGTTTAAAAGCTTAGTTTACTTGGAATCTTGATCAGTAGGAAAAAAAAAAATATCCTGAGAACACGAGAGAAATAAGTTGCAAATTCTTCCTTTGCAGAGCCTCCCATCTTCATTATCATTCCAAATTTTGCAACTTTATCATTATGCTATAGGAAAGGGATGACACGTGGATTGGAGTGAGTTAGTAAACGAAGGAGACACGTGTCTATCAGAGAAATGTCAGTTGCGCAAGTTTGTTGGAAACCGTTGGATAAAAGGAAGAGAAGAAGTTGATTTTGATTCATTGAATAAAATGTGTGTTGTTTTTTTCTTGTAATTCTGGTTTTGAGTGTACTTCTCTATCAAGCTTTTGAGTGTTTCTACGTGGTATCTCTTGGCTTGGGGTGAGATCAATTCTTTGTAATCTTACATTGAATTGAATAAAGAGTTCTTAAGTGTTCAGCTGATTTTACTGTATCAAAGGTATCAGACGTCAAACGGACCTCGGAAGCTATGGCGGAAACAAAAGCCCAGACGTTGAGGAAAGAGAAGGAGAGGTCAATCGATTTGTGAATGTTTGACGTTGGGAAGACTATATGAGACAGCTCATCCTCGTAGGAATCAGTCACAGAGTTGGGGCCAAGGAAAGTCTAACAGGACTAATAACAAATGATTGTTACGGTTTCAGAAACCTATGGAGAGTAAAAAACCATTGGAGTGAATGAAAAACAGCAGGAACTGGTGAAACAACCTCAGAAGTTCCTTTCTCAGGCAGAGATGAGTGAGAGGCGTGCAAAAGGTTTATGTTATCAGTATGATGAGAAATATACTCCAGGTCATTACTTGAAACACAAGAAAACTCAACTTTATTCGATGGAGGTAGACGAAGATGAGTTTTTTGAAGCATTAGAAGAGGAGAATGAAGGAATCATAGCTCAAGTCTCGGTTAGTGCAGTTGCGGGTATTACAGAAAATTATAGAACGATGAAGGTTAGGGGTCTTCATGGAAAGATAACTATGTATATACTCATTGACTCAGGGTCTACCCATAACTTCATGAGTCCGAGCATGGCTGAGAAGTTAGGCTGTGTGATCAAACCACCATCCATGAAACGAGTTGCAGTGGCTGATGGTGGGAAGTTAACAGTCACTGGTTGTATCGAACAATTTGAATGGAGGTTCAAAAATGCAACTTTCAAACAAGACCTGATGTTGATTCCTCTTGGCAACCGTGATATGGTTCTTGGGGTCCAATGGCTTTCCTTGCTTGGTCCGATAACTTGGGATTTCTTGAAACTAGAGATGCAGTTTAAGTATCTTAACAAAAGGGTAGTGTTACATTGTATTAAAGAAGGACTTTTGACTGAAGTGAAAGCTAATAAGATCAAGCTAACCGATGAGGAAGTGCAGGTATCGCTGATTTACATCAATAAGGTTGACGATAACGAGGAAGCCGAGTTGTTCTCAGTAGGAGTGAGCGCTGATACACCAGAGCTGTTGCCAGTAGGAGTGAGAGCTGCTCCTGACCTGTTACCAGTAGGAGTGAGTGTTGTGGACAGAGCAGAGAGTAAAGTAGCAGCTTTTGGTTTGAACAACATGATAGGAGAGTTTGGAGTGAGTATTGATGAACCGGAATTGTTTCCAGTAGGAGTGAGCGCTGGTGCTCCTGAACTGTTTTCAGTAGGAGTGAGTGCTGAGATCAGCGTAGGGAGTAAAGTAACAGATTCTCGGTTGAATGGATTGTTGAAAAAATATGAAGACATCTTTGCAGAACCAACTACACTTCCTCCATACCGTGTAAATCACGATCACAAGATACCTCTTATGGAAGGCTCGAATCCAGTCAATCAACGTCCTTATCGATATGCTTTATATCAAAAAACAGAGATTGATAAGCTGGTTCAGGCATTGTTGGATGCAGGTACAGTAAAGAATAGTTCTAGTCCTTATGCTTCACCAGTGGTTCTAGTGAAGAAAAAGGATAGTACTTGGCGCTTGTGTGTGGATTACAGGAACTTAAATAGCATGACTATTAAGGACAGATTCCCTATTCCTCTAATTGAAGATTTGATGGACGAGTTAGGCGGTTCGTCTGTCTATTCCAAGATAGATTTGCGCGCTGGATATCATCAAGTAAGGATGGATCTCAAAGACACACACAAAAATGCTTTCAAGACGCATAGTGGCCATTATGAGTACTTGGTCATGCCATTTGGCTTGACGAACGCCCCTGCAACATTCCAGAGTCTGATGAATTCAGTTTTCAAGCCATTCCTCCGCAAATTCGTTCTCATCTTCTTTGATGATATACTGATATATAGCGAGTCAGAGGAACAACATCTTCAACATCTCAGAGAGGTATTTGAAGTAATGAGAGCAAACCATTTATATGCTAAAAGGAGTAAGTGTGAGTTTGTTACTTCGAGGGTCGAATATTTGGGACATTACATTGAAGCTAAGGGCATTTCTGCTGATCCTAACAAGATTAAAGCTATTAAGGATTGGCCTACACCTACAGTCTTGAAACAATTGCGCGGGTTCTTAGGACTGGCAGGGTATTATAGACGTTTTGTTCAAGGTTTTGGTGGCATTGCTCGACCTCTTACAATATTAACCAAAAAGGATGCATTTCTTTGGTCTGAGGAAGCACATGCATCATTTGAGAAGCTGAAAGAGGCTTTATGCAATGCACCGGTTCTGGCATTGCCCGACTTCAACAAGCAGTTTGTGGTGGAGACTGATGCGTGTGGAAGTGGTATTGACGCAGTTTTAATGCAAGAGGGTCATCCTATTGCATATATCAGTAGACATTTGAAAGGTAAACAACTACATCTCTCTATCTATGAAAAAGAGTTGCTTGCGGTGGTGTTTGCAGTTCAGAAGTGGAGACACTATCTTCTGCATGATCACTTCATCATCAGAACGGATCAACGGAGCTTAAAGTATTTACTGGAGCAACGGTTGAATACACATATTCAACAGCAATGGTTACCCAAACTTATGGAGTTTGATTACGAGATTCAGTACCGGCAAGACAAGGACAATTTGGCAGCAGATGCTTTGTCGCGTGTTGAAGGATCAGAGGTCTTAAGTATGGCTATATCTGTTATGGAGTGTGATCTGATGAAACAGATACATGGTTGTTATGAGACTGACTTGCAGACTAAGGAACTCATTGAGGCTTTGAAAAAGAACCCTGGTTTCAAAAGACACTTTACGTGGAAACATGGCACTTTACGCAGAAAGAGCAAGCTAGTCATTCCGTCAGATGTTGAGTTGCGAAAGACTATATTAGAATGGCTACATAAATCTTGCAGTGGTGGGCATTCAGGTCGGGATGCAACACATCACTGTGTGAAAAGCTTGTTTTAGTGGAAGGGAATGACCAAAGATATTCAACAATATATCAGGAGTTGTGCTGTTTGTCAACAATGTAAACATGAGACAATAGCATCTCCCGGTTTATTGCAACCGTTACCGATTCCTACAGCTATCTGGTCTGACATATCAATGGATTTTATTGACGGGTTACCTAAGTCCTTTGGCAAATCTGTGATTCTGGTAGTGGTGGATAGATTAAGCAAAGGTGCTCACTTTCTGGCTTTAAGTCATCCTTATACAGCGGCTACAGTTGCTCAAGCTTTCTTGGATACAGTATTTCGCCTTCATGGCCTTCCTCAATCTATTGTCAGTGACAGATATACTGTTTTCCTAAGCGATTTCTGGCGAGAACTCTTCACTTTAAAAGGTGTGGCATTGAACTACTTCTCTGCTTATCATCCCCAAAGCGATGGTCAGACTGAGATTGTGAATAAATGCTTAGAGACTTACCTCCGCTGTATGACCAGTGAGCGCCCTCATTTATGGAGCAAATGGCTGCCATTAGCGGAGTATTGGTATAATACTACCTTTCATACGGTAACACAACTTACACCTTTTGAAGCTGTTTATGGTCGCCCACCTCCTGTTCATCTACCCTATCTTCCAGGCGAATCTAAAGTTCAAATGGTGGCTCAGTCACTCCAGGATCGTGAGGATATGATTCTTTTGCTGCAGTTTCATCTTCTTCGCGCTCAGCACCGTATGAAACAAAACGAGGATTTGCATAGGACGGAGAGGAGTTTCGAGATTGGAGACTATGTGTTTGTGAAGTTGCAACCATATCGGCAACAGTCTACTGTGATGTGATCCAACAACAAACTGTCTCCTAAATTCTTTGGTCCGTACAAGATAATTGATCGGTGTGGGTCAGTGGCTTATAAGTTGGAGTTATCTCCCTCTTCTCTGATTCATCCGGTCTTCCACGTCTCTCAGCTGAAGGTTTTGGTAGGTGATGTACCTACAACGCGTCACCTTCCGGTGGTGGTCACTGATGTATTGCTGAAAGAACCAGAGGCGATACTTGAGCGTAAGATGGTGAAACGTCAAGACAGAGCAGCTACTAAGGTTTTGGTTAAGTGGAAAAACCAAGGAGAGGAGGAGGTTA